TAAAAGACATTTTTAATAGGAAATTACAAAAAGGAATTATAAAAACCGACATATCCGATCATTTCTTAATTTTTCTAACAATTCGTACTCTATCCTCTAACAACCCCTAACAACAAAATGTAATTAAAAAAAACTGGTTTTCAACAAGAACAATATCAATTGTCACTGCATTGAAAACATATTAACTTTAATGATGACGCAAATATAATATAAAATAAATTCTTTGATACTTTTTTTCAATATACAATACAAACTTCCAACTTTGTGAAAAAAATAATAATAATAAAACCTTGAATAGTCCATGAATTACAAAATGAATAAAATCAAACAGAAACTATATCAAAAAAATTTAAAACTAAAATCAGACAAAAACCAACAAATGTATAAAATTTACAAACATTTACTTGAAAAAATTCGTAGAAAATTAAAAAAAAATACATTACTTAAATATATTTAGTTATTTTTAAAACGATTCAAAAATTACTTGGAGAGCGTTGAAAGAAACAAAAACAAAGTTAAACTCTCTTCCTAAATTAATTAAATGAAATAAAAGAAATATATATGAACTAAACGAAGATGCAAACAAATTTAATTTGAGAAAAAAATCTCTTAGAAGAAACAAATTTACGGGTGCGGGCAAAGTAAATGGCAAATTAGTCACAGATTGCTTTGAAAATTCAAAGTCTTCAAAGCATTTATACAGCAAGGTGAATTTCCCAAGCAAATAAAATTAGCTAAAGCTATTCCAATTTACAAAGAAGGAAAAAAAAACAAATATAAAAAATATTGGCCTTAGCTCAGTCCTTTTAACCTTCTCTAAAATTTTAGAAAGTATTATATACAATGGAACATAAAATTACCTTAATCTAAATAAACGTCTATATAAAAAACAATTTGGTTTTTAAAAAATCGTTCCAATGAACAGGCCATTACACAGTTTATTTGTGAAGTCTCCGAATAATATTTTAATTGACTTATCAAAAGCATTCGACACGGTCGATCACAAAATTCTAATAAAAAAACTCAAATATTTAGAAAATAATGGCAAATTATTAAAATGGTATAAAAGTTACTTGACAAATATAAAATAATTTGATTTCTATAGGGATTATATTCAAAATGAAAAATTAATTGACATAAAACGTGGTGTTTCACAGGGTTCTGTTCTATGCCAGTTTTTGTTTTTAGTCTATATAAATAATATAGATAAACGCCTAACTTTATGAGTATCATGTTTGTGGACGAAACTAAATTATTTTTGTCAAACAATGAAATTTATGAGTTTTTTCAAATATAAATAAAGAAATCAATCACATCTCCAACTGGTTTAAATTTAACAAGTAAACTTTAAATATTGTCAAAACAAAATGGATCTTTTTCCACTCCCTCAAAAAAAAGCGTTTTTTATTAAATGGTTTGTAAACTTCTTAACTTTTTATTGAAAAAATTGAAATAAAAAAGGAGTCGGACACAAAATTTTTAGGCATTTACACTGATGGAAACATAACATAGAAGTACCACCTCAAGTTTATTTCTACTAAAATGGCTAAAAGAGTTTTTTTTTTATATTTGGATAACTGGTTTCTTAGTTATGGCAATTTATGTTGGGCTCAATAACGCCTGTTTTGCGTCAAGATGTTGAGTTTTCCTTTAAGGTTTCTGGTACCATAATTTTATAATAATTTTTTATTTCAAATGCCTTTAATAAAAAAGAGTTTCGATGAAGTTTTATGCTTAAATATTTTACTTCTTTCTTTTTTACTAAAGAGTCAAAGGATTCAATTCTACAAACTATTATTCTCATACTAGGGGCCCCTAGGTAAGGATTCCACTGCTCGTATGCCCGATATGGGGCAATTGGATCAAAAGCAAAAACACTATGTTAAAATTGTTTAAATTAACTTTAAAAAAGAAATAGAGCTTTTTCAAACTGTTACAGTAAGTAAGTTTATTTACATTTATAAATATTAGAAAAGTACGTAAAAATCTTAGAGCTTATTTCTATTGTTCAGAGCAACTGGAACAATAAAAGCTCTTTACAAACAACAAGAATTCATTTTATTTTAAAAAAGGAGCTTCTTTCGAGCTGTCAGAACAAACAAATTCATTTATATTTATAAATATTAGGTAAAAATGTAAAAATATACAGTGCCTGTTTTCCAATTTTGGGGCTAATTGGGCCAAGAGTACAATAATCTCTTTTAAAACCGTTAATACTAACATAAAAGATAACGAAAAGGAGCTTTTTCAAATTGTCAGAGTGAACAAATTCATTTACATTTATGAATATTAAGAAAATATGTAAAAATCATAGGACTTAATTCATCCATTCAGGGAAATTGGGCCAAGAACAATCTAAGCTCTGTAAAAGTAATAAAAACTAACTTTAGTTAAAAAAAAGAGCTTTTTTAAACTGTAAGAATATACATTTACATTTATAAATATCAAAAAAGTATAAAAAAACTTTAGGTCTAACTTCCCGAATTGAGGCGATTGGGCCGGGAACAATTTAAGCTCTTTAAAAATAGTAAAAATCAACTTTAATTAATTAGTGCTTTTTCATATTGTCTGAGTAAACACATTCGCATAAAACCCAAAATATATGTAAGAATTCTAGTGTTTGTGTGCCCCATTTAAGACAATTGGGTCAAAGGCAATGAAATTTCGTTAAAAACTAAATAAAAAAAACAACCGGTGGAGAACAAGATCTTTTTTATGTTGTAAGAGTAAACAAATTCAGATGCATTTATAAAAACATAAATTTTCCGGAGAAAACGTCTTTGTAATCCATAGAAATACAATGCCTTGCTTTGCCAAATCACTTTCTGTAACACCCCATGTATTTTCTTCAGGGCATTTTTAAATTAAAAACTAGAGAGTGACTTATTATTTTTTCTTTTAAATATGAAATGTGATAAAAAAGATTTACCCATTGCATTGACACCATTTATTACTTTAATTTTTTCCCGGTTACCTCATACTTAATTCTTTTTTTAACAACTATTTTCCAGGACGATAATCAAAGTGCATCCCAGTCTCATTCTTATTCTAAATGTGTTGCGGCATCT